GCGGGGGAGGAGGAGAGAGTGTAGGTAGATGCTACGCAAGTCTACCGGCACTATAAACCCCTGCGTAAGTCACCGTCCCTGCTCCCACAATGCAGTCTGTGGGGCACACGGTGGTCATCGTCGAAATCGACGGACGAACTGTCATGTATGTATGTATGTATGTATGTATGTATGTATGTATGTATGTATGTATGTATGTATGCATGCATGCATGTATGTTCGGTTGCTGTGCAACTGTCTAATTCGAATACCTTTCGCGACTTCCGCATAAATTCTACTGGCAAAACAGTCGTTCACGGATGCTTGGGGACGCTCGTCGGTATTCGTTGGGTGCGGGAGTCCCAAGCCAGAACTGTAGACTAGGTTAGTGAACTTTTTAGCGTACACGAACAGCTGCCTACCGAATGTAGAAGCGAGCATGCCTAGAATCGGGAATAATTAAGTCAGCGAGTAAGGTGCAATTCTATAGTTTCAGAAGCAATTGCGACATTCATGTGATCTTCGCCAGTTGATGACGGAAGCCACAGGATAGTTAGTTCTATTGCCCAGCAGGGTGCGAGGAGAGAGCCAGGTGCCCGACTTATACTTGCCCAGAGCCTCAACTTCTTTCTTACAGCCACCCTAGGGTTGCGTGCTGCACCCCGGGTGCGTTGACATGAGAAACTTAAACCGGCCTCTTTAAAAACATTGTTTAGTGCACTATTTTAGACGGGCCATTGTGCAGTATCCGCCGGAGGTATTCGTTTACGCTCACGCGACTGGTCTTTCAGTGGTATTCACCGTTGCTCGTGAACCCTACAACCGGACATACCCTAGCTTCCGGTTCACGAGCAATGCACACCACCTAGTTTAGACGTCCCTACTATTGCCCTTTGTATTGTCCGGTTGTAGACACTAACATGGCGGAAGTTTGACGTTACAATGGCAGAGGATGGCAAGTACGGCCTGCCATGGCGCGCTCGACTTAGTGCCGGCAACCTACCGTGGGGGGGGGGGTTATTTGCCTTCGCAGCGGGCGGCACCATACTCGCTAAGGGGTAACTGTCCGACGGACTGACTTACGCTTGGATAGTTCCCATGATCAGGGTCGACCATGCGCCACGTGAACACGCCGCTTATCTGACAATGTCACCGATAAGTGGTGCTCTGCGGGGCCTCTTCCATACTTTTTCTAGGCAGATGCCATCGGGCGACCATCCTTCTCTCGACAGGACTGCACCTAGTCAATACTTGACATGAATTTTCCGCGACAAGTTGACTATAGCCGTAGTGGTCGTCCGTTGCGCGCCGTACACAGCCCGTCAGAGTGGGAGGCGTGGGCTCCGGGTAACGCAGGAGACGTAAGTTGCATGTTATACGCTGATAACTCTTTGCCTTCCAGCACACTAGACTGGGCCAACTGGGCAGCAGCAGTACAATCTCTACCTTGCCAACCCCTCCTCCCAGCAGGTTTCTGGCGCATTAGAACCCGACTGAGGGACAATCTACCGGTATAGTCCATATAATTTGCCTATTTTAGCCTTACTCAATGTGCCCACGAACGTCCGCCATCATGAGTCATGCCCCGGCTGCTGCTCGCACACGCTCGACCACAAAGTACTCGTCACTGGTAAGTGCCGGCATTTATTTAACCCTATCTCAAGCCGCTATTACGGGTATATGCAGTCGCCTCGGGGCCATTGAAGCAAACATCCAGCAGCTGCGTCAGATGGACAGAGGACCGCCCGTGTCAGTGTTGCCAACAACCTCCCTCCCGTTGGCCTTGGAACGCATGTCGGACTTCGACATATTTGAAGAAAATATCCTGAGGGACGACTATCGGCAGGAAATGGTAATATCTCTGATTTGATTTACTTTCACTTTCAGATGGCCTTCCTACAAACGGTGGGCGGCAACACGGTCCGTGAGTTTGTCAAACGACAGTTGAGGTCGTTATTTGCCAATTCCCTCTTACCCGGATTCGACTTGAACGGGAGATATTCGAAACGCAACTTCCGCCAGACCAACACTCTCAAGATGCCTTAAGGTAGGCACAAGAAGGTATGAGGATTCGACATAGAAAAGACTACCGCATGGACGGAAACCTCAGAGGAAATCACGGAGAATATGACAAGGCATGATATTAATCCGCCGCAGAAGAGCAGAAAGCAGACGATCACCGCCCCCCCCCCTAATGTTACCGGGAAGAAGCAAGGAATTTATAATAAGACTTAGACCGTTCACATGCTACTGAGGTCAAATCAAAGGAAGCAGTTTAATCAAAAGGGACTGATGACTGAACAAGGAGAGACGGAAATCGGACGACTCCGGAGTACTCAAAGAAAAAAACTTCCTAGGGATGAAAAGCAGAGCTCATCTGAGCAATTAACAGAAACCTCCAGCGCCTGCGTAGACAAAGACCAGGCAGATGCGAATATCCTCGTTATTGACATAAAAGACAGGAGCAGTATTGCCACAAACACGATGCCATTAGTTGCAGAAAAGATCCCTGGATTGGATGGCAACCAGAATCTCGTCACGAATGGTTCGCCAGGAACTCCCAATTCACCAACATCACGCAACCAAGACCGGCCGCTCCGAGAACAGTGCCTAGTAATACAGGGACTTCAGGAGCCTCACCCAGATACACCTAAAGGACGCGTATTAGCTGATCTCGCCTTGTTCCAAGATCCTTTTAATGCAATGCTTCAACCCAACGAAGAACTTTCAGTGTTGAAAGCCTTCAAACTCGGAAAGCGCTCTACGGAACCCGCTATTCCATCGCATCCTAGGCCCCTTAAAATTGTTCTGAGTTGCAAAGAGCAGGTTGATCTTATCCTCTCAAGACGTTTTATGCTAAAATATTCTCACCAAGGAGTTTTTTCAGCCGGATTACACACCACCGGAGCGGATAAAACGCCGTCAGTTAGTTCAGGAGCCAAGGCTGCGACAAATAAATGGCGAACAAGGCCTGGTTATCTACAACAACTGCATAATCGAGCGACCGACCGAAAACGAGACCAGAAACCAAATCCAACCAGACCCAGGGCCATTAACGACTAGCACTCGTGCTGAAAAGCCACCACCGCATAAATTACGACCCCAGCGGTGATTGCGAGTACTGTTATTTACTGAGCGCATACGGTCCCTCGGCTGCCACGTGCTATAAATGCTGCAATCCTTGCGCCGCCGTTATCCTTATCTGCGACTGTATCTGATGGATTCGAGCGAGAATCCGAAAAGTCAAGCTGATGCATTTCTTGTTTCAGTGATCACACCTTCCTCTTCTGAGCCGCTACCTGGAACTCGCCTGTTTGTTTCTATCAGCGAACTTTTAACCCTAAGTGGGGGACGCTGCATTTCCTTCAAAGAATACGATAGCAAACGTTCTATACAAATAGGACAAAGGTAAGTAATTGAACAGAATTGTAATAAAACGAAGACCTCTCCATTATCGGTTGTTGCAGCTTGAATGCGTATGTGTAAATTCCAGAAGGTTCCAAGTTAAAGTTAGTAAATGGAGCTTGTTGCTGGGACAAATGCATTCCGGCACGATACGACCGAGACATACAAATGTTTCGTGGGGATAGACTAAAAAGTAGATGAGATGGAGCCGACAAAGACAAGGGGGACCGGAATGGCCATTTCTGGCTGATTAGCCGTCATCAGCCAGTTATACCCAACCTGCGAGGGTTCTAGTATGAGCCCCAAGGCACAACGGAACGAGCCTGTTCCGTAACCTGATCAGTGAGCGCCCATTATCATAAAGACTAAAAAGTATTGAGACTCATGAGGGCAATTAATGAAGCAATGGCAGTATGTGGCCTCAAATTATCGCTGAATACTTCACGGTTTTCAATGTTTTCTAGCGAATTCGCATAGAGGCATATCAAATGTTTATTGTATCCTTTAAACTAAAGTACCCCCTAGAGGCATTTACCGATGTAGTGAGCGTTTGGACGATCTTTTTCTATAAATGGTCGTCTAGGTCATATTTGGACACCCACCTAAACGCGAAAGCTCTTTGTCAAAAAAGTAAACGTTTACAGAACCAGGTAACAATTAAAATGTTTTCCATCAATTTGAGAACTTCTTATACTTTACCTATATAAGAGGGCTCAGTTGTTGTATTCTGTTGACGGGTGTCCGTGTACTTTATATTCATGTATGGTGAAGCCTTCGCTATTTCCTTCCAGTTGCTGATGCTTTTCCTGCTGTAAACAGAATAAAATGCCGGATTTGTAGGGAAGACGTAGATAAATAAGCCTCTTATGGTATATCCCTTATGCAGTCATCTATGGCTTTGTATAGCGAAGGCCGTTTGACGGTTTCAAGAATATATTTGGGAGCAGTGCACAATCTTTCAGAAGCCAAACAGCCATCTTTCTAAGTTGGCCGCCGGTTTACAAAGCGCGTGCCCTTCAAGTAACCTCTAGAGGGGCTTCAAATAGCCGTTATCACAACTAATTTCAAGCAGTGTTATCTACTGCAGATGATGGAGAGCACTTGCAGGCAAACCTAAACCGACTCCAACAGTGGTCAAAGGACTGCCTTCTGCCGTTCAATGAGAACAAGTGCAATATTCTTCGTGTCGGCAGAGCCCGCTCTCCGAACCACATGGCTAACTGCCTAAATGGTATACCACTGCAAGAAGCGGACTCACAGAAGGACATGGGAGTATGGATTAAGACCTCGCTCAATCTCTCGGTGCACTGCACGAAGGTAGCCAAGTCTGAAATGTTAGTCCTCCACCTTTTCAAGCGGGCTTTCTCCGCTTTTGATGAAGACTGCTTCGCTAAAGTCTTCCGAACGTTTGTGCGGCCGCAAATGGAATTTTCTATCCAAGCTTGGAGACCCTGGACCGCGAAGGACCTCAGCATCCTTGAAAGGGTTCAAAGGCATGCAACGAGACTTGTTACTGGACAAGGTTCACTGCCATATGCAACGCGGTTAGCTAACCTTGATCTAAGTTCCGCAAATATTCCCATGTTACACTTGAAAAGTCAATTTGGCAAACACGCGTTTTCAGTAATTCTTCGTCAGGCCAATAAAATTACAGGAAGGAATGAAAGTGTACAAAATCAACAATGTTTATAGATGTCTCAAGGGCTATTAATTCATTAACACTCATCATTCCCACGCCGCCCGCATGACAAGGTCGGCGGGTGTTGATCCTCAGAGCTATGGGAGGGGGGCAAGAGGTGAGACCCGATCGATTTCGAGTTCTATTCTCGCACATTTAATCGATACGAATCCCCGAGTAGATGCCAAGGTAGCATTTCACGTTGTCTACCGGACACCAACATGCTTCTCTAAAGATCTACGCCAACGGATATTAGCAACGGCCGAGGCAGTAGCTATACGGTTAGCAAATCCGGTGTTATGCTGTCAGAAAACCCCGACACAAGCGCTCTCTCTGCCGTGGCCAACACCAACCCCAAGTGATGAAGCCTTGCCGCCTCAAATCCCTAATTACGGTGATAGGTACCCCTTGTACTCAATTCGAGAGCATCACTCCAGGACTCTCTTACCCCCCTCCCCTAGCTCTGAGGACCAACACCCGCCGACCTTGTCATGCGGGCGGCATGGTGATGATGAGTGTTAATGACTTAATAGCCCTTGAGGCATCTATAAACACTGTTGATTTTGTACACTTTCATTCCTTCCTGTAATTTTATTGGCCTGACGAAGAATTACCGAAAACGCGTGTTTGCCAACTTAACCTTGATCTCTTTCCCTTGAGTTACAGGCAGTTACGGGGTGACCTAATGCAAACGTTCCGTATCATATGTGGTCAGGACTGCAGCCTGCTACCGGGAGACTTCTTCGAGTTAGCAACCAGCACAAACTTACGGGGTCATCCATTCAAACTACGTGTGACCGAGGCCAGGCTGGACACCCGAAAGTTCATCTTCTCTAACAGAGTGCTAGAAGCTTAGAACGCCCTGCCTGAGGCTGTTGTTATGTCCGCTTCTGTCGAGGTCTTTAAGATAAAGCTGGATATGTATAGCAGTGTCCACCAAATAACTACTTGACCTCTATAACGTTGACAAATCCCGTTGTCATAATACTACTTGCTACATTTCAGCAACATTTTAAATTGAATTATTAATTGTCTCCAACCTACGCCGTACGCTTTCTGACATGCACCTATGCAACTTTTGTCACCGGGTATATTATTTATCTCCCTGCACTCGAAACAACCGCTGCACGACTGCACGTACCACTTACATTCGAGGGAGTTTGTTTATCTGTTCAGAGTTGTCGCTATTCCGATTATTTTTTACCTTTATGAAACCTTTTCCAGTTTTTGAGATTTTGCAGTTGCTTGTAAACAAGTAGGGAGTTCAAAGGTGAAAACCTACATTTCCCTCAATAAAACTGAACTGAACTGAATCTCTTTTAAAAAATATTTCGACTGATGAAGACTAGTAATGTTGTTGGCAATAAGAGAAAATGTTTCTGGCATGTTTGTTAAAATGTTATCAACATATCAAGTTGAATTGGTGGATCAGGGGTCACAACCCATGGAACCCCGCTCCCATCCAACCGCCTACATACTCACTAATCAGCAATCCCACCAGTCTCCCTTGTTTTTGTCGGTAATGCCATTCCGCCTAAATCCTACTACCACCATCCCCTTCTCCTCCTCCACCTCCTCCCCTTGTCCTCCTCTTTCTTCTTCTTCTTCCTCTTCTTCTTCTTCTTCTTCTTCTTCTTCTTCTCCACTTCCTCCAACAGCGGAGCATACTGCAAGCGTGCCCCCTGAAAACCTCCTGAAAAATTGTAATGTGCTGATTTCTTTTTCTGATTGTAATTTTCGCCTGACAACGGGTTGGTAGCAGTAACTGGCAAATTTGCATGAACAAATTTATTTATTGACGGAATAACGCACGTTTTGGTCTAACCCTAAGAGTCATGTCCCGAACACTTAGCTCCAGGCTCTGTATTTCATGATTTCTGAAATTGTTTGCTTGCATATTCTCTTGGGTTCATGTACCAAAGACGACGAAAGATACGCTAGGTTACCTTCTAAGGAGCTGAATATCTCGCTCCTGCGTGTCGCAGCAGCAGAAACCTATCGCGGAATCTGAGGTGAAAATTCGAAAAACAACTGTGTTGAATTTCAATAAAATTTAGTTGTAGAAATGCATTGCGATCTACATTTTCCTCAACATTTATTTGTCAGAGAAGGAAATTCCAAAAATAACGCTACTCAGAGAGCTAAATTTATTCGTGGACGCTAGCGTATCAAATAGTTGTATCTCTAATTTGATGCTGCATAACGGGCATAAGTCTATCCCATTTGCGATTACGACGGCGTTACCTACAAGGAAGGCACCTGCTGTCCGCGAAATGGATAATAGCTTTGAGTGCCTGCCCGTAATGCAAGTGCTTTAGCAAAAAGTGAGGGAAGGTGCATTATCTCGACCCAATGAAACAGTCGTTTTGCTCAAAAGTCAGGTAGGTGTATGGCTTGTATCCGAGGTAAACCTAATAGTGTACAACACACGCTACTGCACTTATTTAAGTAGGTGTTGTTCAATTACGTTTTTCGCATGTGCCACTCAGGGTTTGTATATGGCTTGCTCTACGTGTTTCATCGGCCTGTGCCACTGACCTTGCTACCAACCGTCCCGAGAACTTGACGTTTCAGAGGTGTCCATATAGACTTATTATTGTGCTTATCGGACTTATCAATGTCTCTTCTGCTTCACGGAGTACATCTTCGCGATGTTTGAAAGGTGGGCTTTCTGTGACTGTTTTGGGCCAGTAGTGTTTAGTCCAAACCGTAGATGATATTCCATCTCGTCAATTTTTAGCCCAGGCAGCTCGGCCTGATATAGGACTTCCATGTAATTTTCTTTTCAAGCGGTTCCAGTACGTCTGTGTCTTAGAGTTTGTTTTGGTGGACGTCTGTGATTAAACTCGAGTCGTCCGACGGGGTCTCGTAGCTCAAGTGGTTAGAGCGTTGGCTGTACTAAAGCCTTCTCCTTACTGTGTGGGTTCGAATCCCACCGAGGCGCCGAGTTTTTCACAGTTGGGTCAATATGAATTAAGAAGGGTTTATTTATAGTTTGCCACTACTTCTTACTGTCGGAACTATCGCCTTCCTATGGATATTGATGTTTACATCTACATGGACAGACTGACTTTCTGTGCTTCAATATTTCACTTGTGATTTCGTTTACTTTCGGGAATCTACGTTGTGTACCATGACTTATTTCCAGTTAATACGCCTACATATCTCTACTTAAGTCATGCCTCTTTGTAAACACTAGACTTGACTTTCCTTTTTATTCTTTCCTTCTATCATTTAGCTTACCTTTTTAGAGTTCTTCTTGTTCATAGTTTTGCATTTTTTGTAAATTCTTGTTCGTTAATGTGTCTCCTGGTTTAGCTTGCAATCTGCGCCATTTGCACGTCGCTTACCACCTGCAGCCAAATACCATTGACAGTTATTTTTTTTGGAACCTTAACTCCAGTTGTTTAGTTGACTGCGGCTTATTCATTCGCCTCAATTTCCCTGAAAACCGTTTATGGCCATTTTTCTGAATTTGTGCGCTCAGTTACCATTTGCCTTCTAAGCGCATTAGGAAGTTTTCGATGAACTTTTATTCTCTACCTTTCCCATCTCCATTTCCGTGCGTCCCATGGTTCTACCTGCACAACCCCTCTTACCACCATCATATTAGTCAGTCTGCTCTGGTAACCTGTTATCGACCCCGGGTACGAACCATGCCCTCGCCAAAAGTTGCTCCCATCATATGAGTGTCTTCAGCATCATCATGGCTTGTGCCAGTGACAGTTAATAATTTCCGAACAAGAAGAATACGCATTCGCATTAGTTGCCCACATACTAAAGATAGCTCGGGCGCTGGGGATTACTGGATTTTTAGTTGAATATTACTCACGAAGTCATTGTTTCCCTATACGGTTTCAGACTAACACGCGGAAAATGACTCAACTTCGAGCGATCATATCGATTTAGGGGCATTGTCAACAACAGTATATTCCTTTTTGGCGTTCCCTTTTACCTGTTTCTATGACGCCGCGTAGGTGTCTACAGTTTTGACCCCGTAGACGTTAAAATGCGGCTAGTCGCGATTGCCCTGCTCCCACGTCTTGCTGACGGACGTACTGATGCATAGACTTCGTTAATTTTAACCGACCTGCAATTCTTAGCTGCGCACAATTGTTGCTACCACTGGCCAATCTTTTATGCGGCAACAGCCGTGAGTTTTTTCTTTCTAACACATGCATAGACGATTCTATGTCAGAGGGGCCCTTTTCATTACGATTGCCATTCCCATCATCCCACTGATTTCCGCTCCCAATTGCTGCTGTTACCTCCAATTGGGTCAGAGAGCCAAAATCTGACGGCATAACAAAGTCCCAGGTTGCAGCATCCTTGCAGCTGACGGACGTTTTGCGCATGCCTACATAAATCTAATAAGTTTTTCGACAAAATCTAATGGTTATAATTATTTGCTAACAGCAACTGAGCGATATGCGTGATGGCCCATCGCAATTCCCATTGTAAATATAGTTGTGGATACTGTCGTTTGTGTCTTTTTTAAACACTGCATCTCCCATTTGAGTGTCCGCTCAACTAATACAATTGAACTAGGTCAGCACTTAGATGATAGGCCTTTTAATTGCCTCACTGAACTCTTTGGATGGTTTCGCAAACGTACGACAGGCTACCATGCCTCGTCAAACTGCCCATTCCAGCGTTTACAGCTTTAACTTAATCCCTGGCTCCGGGTCCATTGAAGTCCACTCATTAGAGGCACCACCTACCCACGGTCATGCTCGATATCCATACCGTCCACAAACCCGACTCGCAGTGTTGCGCTGTCGAAATTGTTCATGAAAAAACCTTACGGATCCTGAGCAGTTTTTGCAGGCCGCGTCAAATCGTAGGCCACCTGTATGTTACTGATCATATCTAAAGGCTGATTCGCAGTCCACGCATTCACACGCTCTGGCAAGAAAGCCTTACGTAGACCCTAACTTGCTTGTGTTTTCTTTTTTCTGTTTATCCTCATAGGTGGTGTTCGTAGGCCACGAAATCAGCCGCAAAGGGGTTATTTTGGATTCTATCGCGCACGGGCAAACAGTTCAAAATCGCTTTGAGTGATTGCATGAAAGCGGTCTTAGGCGGCCGCTTGAATGTGACTTATGCCGATCCTCTTTTGCCCGCCCCTACGGATTCATCTGATATACCCACCACAGAGCTGCCTGGGATTTTACCCGCCTCTGCTTGCAACTGAAAACCTTGCCAATTCTCCAGCTGTAGAATTAACCCCATGCTTGCAGTGACTGTCGTATCCGTTTTGCTGCTTTTTACCAACTTTCATATTTCACTACATTTTTCACTTTCGAACTGCACGCTCGTAGGAAGGTGAGAACTGAAGTGAAATGAAACGCAATAATTTTCTGTGTACTTAAATAAGCATGAAAGTGTTTGCACAAACTTAAATAGCAAATCAGCATCAAGTGTCAACCTCGAGGCTAGTTCAATTCTTTACATTTAGCCGCATGTATAAAACGTCGCCATTGATCTTTTTTGTCAAATTATAGGCCAGTTTACATTCGCAACATCTTTCAATGCTGCCAGAGTACTTCACAATGCCTTAAAAGACAGCTCACTGCCGCGTGGCTAACAGGACAATCGTTGCAGTGAAAATGGTATGTCCTCTTTCAGGTTTCGTTATCTAATGATATTGGTAAACTTGGATTAAAACTTATGCTTCAATCTTCTTTAAGCCTTACATCCGATTTGGTTTCGGATTTTTTACTCTGGCTGCATATGTTAGCAAAACGCGTAGTCGTTTACGGTAAAATATAACGACTTCAGTGTTATAGCGCTGTGCAATTGCACATTCCAACATTTAATGGTGGTCATAACTGTCTTCTACATTCGCAATAATTTGACCTATTTTGGACAAGCAGCACGGCGGCACTTGAAGGGCTATTTTCAGACATTACCACACACTTTTTTACCGTGATCAACAAAGAGCAATCCGCTCTTGCTCCACATCACTCATGAATTCTGCGTTAACACATCGCCGGCACAGCCGCCACCGTCAGAATATTTTGCGCTCACACCGCGTGACCACGCACAGCGACAACGGCCGCGATCGATATGGATGCATTTTAAAGCAGTCCGTTAGCGCCCAGGAGGGGGCATCCGACAGAAAATGGACTTCGCTGACTGTGATGACGTCGTCGAACGCGTCTGGGCTTATTATCTACAAGTCTGGCTTCCAAGGGTCAAGAAGCTAACGGAGCCGGTTATGACCCCGGTGGATAGTAAGTACCTCTGTGAATTTCTACTTTGAGATTAAAATGTGCAACCTGCTGCGAGATTTGGCAGCATTATTTATGAGACCATTATCAGTTGACGAGAAGCGTATTTACATACACACTAGACACGTTATACGGTCGAACAGGTTTTTTAAAGTGAAAATAAGTTGTATGGAATTTTCAAACTCCAAAGTTCTTAGTTAGATAAAGCAAACTGGTCGAACATTGAAGGCTTACATTATCCGACTACGCGCTTTGGAAATCCTTATTCATGTGAAATAAAGTAGATGTCGAAATCTCATCTTTCAAGCAGCAAGCATACCTGCTTATTCATGAGTGCTGCATGTGGAGCAGATTGTTGTCGACAAATAATTGTTTGACCGGACATTAATTCTGCAAGTGCTTGCAAACAATGATGATGTGGGAGAAATCACTCTGGTAGGCCATTAACATGAATGAGAAAAACAAATAACATGTTTCGAGAGAGAGAGAGAGAGAGAGAAAGAAAGAGCGATCTGGAATGAAAGCTCGGGAAAAATCACACCTGGAAGGTTTGCGCCGAATTTTTTCTGCTTCGAGAAATTCCTTGTCCAGTTACTTGCGATTACCTGTCGGTCAGGAACTCCCTAGATGCTGCACCAGCGGTGACGCTGCTACCACACCCTGTCAGAGGCGCCCGGCAGATCCACAAATGTTGCGTAGATTTTATGCTCTCTGTGTCCCCCACGTGCTGCATACTTTAAACGTTATAGTTACGCCGATTAAGTTCATAGGCATCTGCCTATTCGTCGTAGTAGCAATAGGAGTAATAGTTGTGGGTTGTGGAGAAGGAAGAAGAAAAAGGAGAGGAGCTGGAGGAGTGGCAGTGAAGCACAGCTAGACCGAAATAGCGACTTCATTATGGTCGAAGTACGCATTTACAGCCTGATTTTTGTGAATTAAAGGACCTAGGAGTCAGTTCGCTAGGGTTACCAATATCTTTTGGCGCATGCGGGCGTGGAGGCTTATAATGATTAACGATGAATAAGATAGGTGGCAGATTTGCTGCCATACGTGACTCTCCAAAAAGAAACCTCAAGTAGGACAAAAACTTTTCGAGATTGTTAAAAGCTCATCGAGTCTACGAGACGACCTAAGAGAATAGTCTGCTGATTATGGGTATAGGTTGTTCAGAACAGTACTTTTATCGTATTTGCCTGACCGCTCAAACACTTTTTCTGTAATGAAGCGCATTTGTTTCAAGTTCACTTCACGTATCCTTCTGAACGTGACCTGTATGCAAAGTGTCAATTGCCCTCGTTATAAGTGGGCCGGAGCATTCAGGAAGTTGTGGGACCGATTGAGTGGAGTCACTCATCGTGCCTTTGAGTCCGGAAGAAAAGCGGGTTACCTAGCCGGTCCGTGGCCTTCTAAGCAAAGATTTTTAGTGTCGCATGATAGATTCAAACGCGTTGGACTAATTCTGTAAGGAATATGCTTATGTGTCATGAGAATGGATTATTCAGCGCCGGCCTCATTTTGATTCTCTCTCCTTTCTCCTGTATACCAATACAACGTCCAAGCCCATTATGGGTCAGATGTGGTTACGTAGCCCCACCTTAATCAAACAAACCCCAGTCATCTATAATAAGGGACCGGTGGTAGCAGGTTTTTTTCAGGTAGGGTCGTTGGACGCACAGGCGACGAGGTCAAGTAGTTGTATGCAAAAGAAAAGTTATTTGGAATGCCTGGTTGTACTTTCAGTGGTTGCGAAATAGTCGCTAAAACCCCTACCCTAACCTCTAACCCTGAGCTTTAACCCTAACTCCTAAGTCTAAAATACATCTCTAGCCCCAACCCCCGACCCCAACTCCTTACCATAACCTCTAACCCTAGCCCCAACCTCAACAGTATTGTGTCTATTAGGTGGGACTTAATAACCCCGAAAGTCGTGTCTAGGCTTGTAAGCCTAACTGAAAACTCCCTAGGAAGGTAATTATGACTTAACTGCACTAAACGCAATTATCACGTGTAGTAACACTGTACGGAGCAGTCTTTTTCCTGTGCATTTACAGCACGACCTGTCTTGTGGACCGTCAATGCGCACCCGAGTTCGACCAAGAATACTGACGAAGTCCACCGAGCGCAGTCCAGTAGGACAATCTTAGGGACGGTGACTTGATCGCAAATTAGTTTTTGCCGATTACGGACTTGCACTGCACTTGCAGCGTTCACTCTACCCTCAACCACCTGTGAACTAAGTCATGAAAGAGTCAAGAAGACCAAAAACTGAGGGGACGCAGGTGGCTGGAGCGGTGTGAACCCGCACCACACCGTCTAAACGAGGCACAAATGCCCAGGATTTTAGACAACGAGAAAGCGAAAGTCGGCTGTGGTCCCAAATGTGTTCGAGTGTCATAAGAGCCGCATTAATCAGGAGCCACTGGGTTCTGAGAGTAGGACCGAGTTATCCTGTCAGCTGGAGTTCATCTAAGCCACGGATTCTAACGCACTATTGTAGCCACAAGATCATCAGATTGATTATGGCGAGTAATATGCAGTGGGGCAGTTGACCTCACCTTCTCTTCCCTGTTGCAGGAGCCAGAAAATTGCCCGAGCTGCGCAGTTTTCTGATGCCATTCTTGTGCACAGAGACTGACAGTGTTAGCGAGTCCGACAACGCGTGCGACAGGTCGCCTGGAACACACGCAAAAAACGGGGATTCCGAAAAAATGGTCCATTGTCGAGATGTCTGATGAGCTAAAGTATCTTTGAGGCCACTTGGAGAAAGGGATGAGGAAACCGATTTCCACTTGCGTGAGAGGTTACCACTCGCGGTTGTAGTAGGAGATGAGAGACGGGTACCTATGTGGTGTGTAAGCTGACAGGGAAGCATATGGCGATGGCATTTAGCCGACGGTATTTCATCTTAATATTCATGGAGGCGCATGTGGCCTAATAGGCCCACGCGGTGGCGAGTGCAGAGGGTGCATGCTGGTGTTCCTGGAACTGGTTCGCCAGTATCCGTGTGACAGATTCGCGAATGAGTAGTCACGCCAGGCAGGGTAGATGGGAATCACTGAGTTTGCCGCAGTGGTGTGCTGCTAGTTTTTACCGGGCTGTTGGAGGATTCGCACGTTGTGCCGGAGATGGAAGAGTTGTCGAGTGTGCAAGGCGCGCTTAGCGTGCCGGTGATGTTGTAAATTGCACAGTCGTGGATGCGCCTGCAGTCGATTTGCGTAGGCAGGCGGATGTGGCGAGAATATATCAGCTCCTTGACACTGGTGTGTCCGTCTCATTTTGCCGAATTCTCAAGTAACCGGCAAGGCTGAGGCGTGAATAGAATGTGAGATCTCAATGGGACAGCCTGAGGTCGATTCAACATCGCTAGTGGTGAGGGCGGTGGTGTTGAGGGTGGTAGTTGACCGGGGACGGTGAGTATTATCAAATGCGGTTTCTGTTGAGGATTTGCTAGTTGTCGCCGTCATTGTGGAGGTTGCGACAGGGAATAGAATATGAACAACGGCGGTGATGATGATGATGATGATGATGATGATGATGATGATGATGATGATGATGATGATGATGATGATGATGATGATGATGATGATGGTGTCTTTGGTGGTGTTGGTGTTTGTTGTTGTTGTTGTCTTCATGGGGCTTGGTGCAAGGGTGGCGACAGAGACGTTTTCTCAAGCTACAGGTGGATTTCTCTAATTGTCTTTCATTACCACCGGAGATTTCCGACAAGGCTTATCTGAGTGTGCAAGGCTCG